GTGTGTGTAGGGCCTGGCACTCACAAAGAGAGATGTTTCAATGTCGTACAGCAGACAGAGAGACATACAGATGAGCAGCAAGAGGCCAACAGCTGCTCTGCCCAGAGAGAAACACACACACAGAACACAAATCATAAACCCAAACCTACCACATAATCTAAAAAAAAAATACACAAACTGTAAATATATAAACAATGTATAAACTAGAAAGAGAAAGAAACAGAGAGAGGGTGAATACTCAATTTGTGTGTTGTTTTGTATACAAAACGATGTGTGTTACCATTGCTGAACTGTGGACTGCCAGAAGTGTAGTGCTGACCTATAATTACAATACTTAGAATAATTACATTAATGAAGAAAAGACGATTATGTTTGAGATGCTAATTTTAGGCCAATTAATTATTCTTTTTATATTAAATTAATAGTTTAGCTCTCATGTTTTTATTCATTTTTATTTTAGAATATATTAAGATGTTTCCATGAACTTTGACCCCACCAGTAGTTACCTTTTAACCTTTATTTAACACACTAACATGCACATGCATACATTCACATCTGCCTTTAACACACACACTCACACACATGCCTACAGTAACAGCCTATTTCGGCTATTCGTCTAAAAGAGGAGAAAGGTAATTATAGGTTTTGCCAGCATGTTTTATGGAGCTTTTGATATGTAGAAACACAGAATTGAACGGCAGCAGGTTGTGTGTGTGTGTGTGTTTGTGCAACTGAGTGCTGATTAGCTGCCTGATCAGGGCTCTGACTGCAGGGTCTCAGCTGGGGACCAGGAACATCCTTCATTACGCGTTTCCAGGGGAGTGGAATTGTGCTCGCGTGGCGGCCTGTCGCAGGGGTTATAATCATATCTGTTTAGATTAGCGGTCAGTTATCCTGACATAGATCCCCCCTTCATAATGTGTTCACATATACTGACAAACAGTCAAAACAGCGAATCTCACTTGGGCCCAGGACAGAACCCTGATGGACACCATACCACTGCACGGTAATGCAGCTGATACAGTCACGTGACTCCACAGCTGTCTGTCAGGGTAAATATGCTACTGTTTAACAGTCAGTAATTTAGACTTAATATCCTCATACTTACTCTTTAA